GAGAGAGAGAGAGAGAGAGAGAGAGAGAGAGAGAGAGAGAAATACTTTGCCCCTGTAGGCCAATACCAACACCATTACAAATGAAAGCAATTTACACTGGTAATTAGACAATTCTCAAGCTACTTTCAAATGATTTATCTTGTTGGATGCATCTGAAAATGTTACATAGCTCATATCCCATCTAGAGTCAAACAAGTATACCATTTGCAATGTTCCAGGAGGCAAGAAAACATGATGTGTATGTGATTCTAGTCATCCTCAGCATTGGAGATTTGGCTGGGGACTGGGGTAGAAACCAAAGGAGAGAAAACCTCAAGGTGCTTTTTGCCACTCAGAAATTTGAGTCATATCTAGTTTAATGCTATTACATTTTAGGTAGTTTCAAAAATCCAATCTAAGTGCAGTCTCCTGTACCTTGATAGTTTTCTTATCTGTTTATAGTCTTATTGAAATGCTGGAACTATTGTTGATGCCTGATAAATTTTCAAACTAAGAGGCCCATGAAGTTAAGGTCTAGTAAAACACTGTAAGGAAACTCTTATGCCTGTGAAATTTACATTCCAAAGTGCTGATTACATTCCTTCACTTAATGAAGGAACATTTCCACTCAAAGTTTCCCACAAGAACTGCACTATAAATTCAATAAGCACAAACTTTAAAATACCACTTCTTGAAACTGGTAACATAAAATATATCAGTTGTTGTTTGCATATAATAGGGTTAATTCTGCATTACCCTTTCTAATGGAGAGGAGAAGGGACAAGAAAATACAGAACTGAGGATATTTAAAACTCGTTAAATTCCATGCTAAAATTTTTTGAATGAGCCATACTGAATTCATTAGATTTGAATCAAATCCTAAGAACTCACTGTGAAAGTTCTGGTCCATTAGAATATACCTTTAGCCAGGTTTTGTTTATGTGTCTGTTTCCTCAAGCTCACAATTATTCCCATAGCACTATAAAAAAGAAAAAAAAACTCAGAAAGAAATAAAAAAGTAAATCAGCCCTCCCATCTTCCTTCCTAGTCATATGTACTTGTTTGCATCTTTTTAACGGAAATTATTCTAACCCCAAATGGATCTCTATCAACAAGTTAATGGAGCAAATAAGCATTTGTGTACGTCACGGCATTGATCTTCTGTTTAGGGCCTTCCATTTTATGCTGCGTTTGAATATGTATGATTTCAGGTTATCCTCAAGACAATATAAAAATATGATGGGAAATTTTGCTTTTCTTTGTTTTTTCCCACCACAAATATTGCCAGGAAGAACAGAAGCCATAGCCAGTCACACACAGCTAATAGAATCCAAAGGGTCTAACTTCTAGTGTACTCCTCTTTCCTCCACCTTATGCTTCTTTCAACTATATTATCAACTATGTAATAATAATATCCAAAAGTTTACATATATCATCCAAAATATTTTTCAATCAAGCTCAATCATTGTTTTAACTTTATTTTTCAACATTATTTGAATC